GGGGGGGGGGGCGATCGAGCGCCCCTCCCTGCGCCTTACCAGGCCACGTGCCCTCGACATTGGGAGAGTGTCCCCGTGCTGATGGGACAAGGGCCTCTTCCTCACAACCTTGACCCGGTGGTTGTGGGGGTCTGCGGGCAAGGGGGCAGAGGGGGGCACCCAGATGCCGCCCTCCCCCATTGTGAATGAGTAAGGGGTACTTGTACCCTCCCTACCCATTCACTAAAGGGTTAAATCAAATAGTAAAAAGTCCAGACTTTTAGATAAAATCCTTTAATTGAAAAAAAAACAGACTCGATTTTTGACTATTCCTTTAATGCACGACGATGCACGACCCCCGCCGACCCGCCAAAATGAAAAAAGTCCCGCCGCACGGCGACCACCCGGCCCGCCGGTATGTGTTCGCTCACTTCCCGATCTATTGAGCCGACGTGTGACAGTCTCATTGTCACACGTCGGCCCGAACTATAAGGAGGAGTGATTTTCACTCGCCTTGTAGTTCTCCTGTAAACAATATAAAAGATAAAAATAGGAAACTGTGTATGGTACAGTACAGCATTGTTATATAGTTTCCTCCAACGTACAGTTTAAAGAGACCCTACCAATCACACATCCTTTTTCTTTCATTGAGAGATGCAGCAAGATGTAAAACCTTCGGGTTATACTGCCACCTACGGGAGGATGGGACGCACAAAAAAAACTACAAGTCAGCCCAGGGTATAACCCCCATCATGCTGCAGTTTTTTATATTGTCTTAGGAAGACGGATGTCTTTTTTTTTTTTTTCAAACACTGCCATGTGGGGTTTTTTTTTCTTCAACATTTTGGACTTTTCTCTCAACCGCTGCTAGTGGTTTTACCCAGGGGCTCTCGGCTTTCCTGCACGGTCATCTTCAGACTGCCTTTCGGACCCCACTGGATGATTGCAGGGTGAGCCTGGAAGGGCACTGGGCTCTGGATGGGCTTTCCAGACTGGTTCCGATTACGTTCTCTCCAGGTCCTGAGCTGCTGTCATTGCCTCTGAGTTGGCCTGGTCCTTGGCTCGCTTAGTGAGTATGTCTTCCAGACCGGCCCCCCCGGGAGCTCCCTCATTTTGATTGGTTGCTGGGTTCCACATTTCCCCGACACATTCGCTATAGAAAGG